AACAGGAAAAACGGAGGTAGAAAGTGAGAAAATGTAATCGAGCTATTTAATTTAATAAAAAAAAAAACGGCGAATGCAGATTCTGTGGGACAAATAGAGAAACACACCCAGCACAGCCTCGATCACGTGGGTTTACACCAGAGCGTACGAACCAAGCCTTTGTTGCATAAGCTTGTGGATAAACTGCATATCAGAGATTAGAAGGAAAAAACATACACTTATACATGATGAAACTGAAGACTATTCCCGTCAAAATCCTTGAGACTGTATGATTGGTTATAAGGTCACATAAAACTAATAATGTATTTTATTTAAAAAAAAAAAAAAAATACAATTAATAAAAAAATTGTCAGAACCGGGGGCCACGTTATAGCCCTGCCACATCTATAAAATATAAGTATGAATAAAAAGTTGGTAGGCAGTTCTTTTAGTTTCAAAGTAGGAAGGAATTTTGACTGTTGACTGGCGTTGTGTGATGCTTATGAACCTATTAATTTGTTGCTAAAATATTATTACATAATCTTTAATTAGAAAAAAACCGACGATTTACGCTAGCTAATGTTAATTTTAAAGTTCGGGTTTTTTTAAAAAATATTTTAAACCCCTCCCATACCCACTGATAAACCAGAGCGGCCCGACACAACACCACCAAATAAAACTAATGGCTTAGATTCTAACAAAAAGAATCATCAAACTAATTGTATCAGTGTCTACGTGCCACCAAGTATTTTGTGCCAAAAATATTGAGATTATTTAAAATCGGTTAGTTAGCGGTTTTTGAGTTATCTTAGTTAATCAGACTGACAGAAAGACAGACACATGGAAAATATTTTGTATTTAGGTCATTTTATGACCCAAATAACTCAATAATTATTTGAAGTGAAAATTAAAAAACAACTAATACAAAAAATGTCCTAAAATCAAAACTATATTATGTTTTTTTTTTATTCCGATCTTAATTTATACCATACCTATTGGTTGATGGCTTACCGGAGCTAATAAAAAAAACAATTGTTGATTAAAATAGTAAAAAATGAAGGAAAGGTCGGGCTACCCTCTATCCACGTAGGGGTCTAAAAAATCGTTAATCATACGTAGGTCTGCATGATCCATGTTATACAACATATTAAATAATTCGAGTCAAATCGGTTAAGCCGTTCGGAAGATGACTATGAGTCCATCGCGATGTCCGTTGTCCGACGGATACGTTGATAGCGAATTAATTGTATTTGGTTAGAATTTCGTTACACCGGACTTCGTTATTGATATTCGGTATAGAAAAATAAACCCGCCGGTTTTTGAAATTCTATTTGCATTTTCATGCCCTCCGTTTATCTGAGATATACGTTGTGATTGTCATTTTATATTTTCGTTTCTCACTCTCAGCGATTTTGCCATACTTCATTCTCTATTTTTGGTGTAGAAATTTAATTGTCAAAAAAATGTCAAATATATGTCCCGTTGTCGTTATGAAATCGTGGTTGTTCGAATCGGGGACTGAAGAAAAAAAAATACCACCCGCTGTCACGGCATGAAAGTGGCGCGAAAGCATACTCGCACCAATCAGTAAGGCACACGTCGGAATCAACGTATCACACGAAAAACGATGACATGAAAATCAAAATTACACACCCGCGTAACAAAAAAATAAAAAAAAACCTATTAATAGATTAGAGGGTTCGAGTGAGATAGAAAGAAAGTGGAATTTAGGAGTTGAAGTGTATTTTAATATGCCAACATAATTAAAAGTTAAACTGTTCTCTACTAAAAGCAATAAAAAAATCCGGGTGGGCCACCCTTATCACCTAAGGGTATAAAAAAATAAATAAAAAAAAAAAAAAAAAAAAAAAATATACATATAAATTTCATCAAAATCGGTTAAGCCGTTTCGGGGGAGTAAGGTAACAAAAACTATGAACGAGATTTAATATATTATTTTTGAAATTTTTTATTAAATTTCCACGTGACGGTCGGCGCAAGGCGGTAACGCGAGTATACGCGAGGTACGCACAGTATACTAACGTGTGTGCTGCCATATTTTTACTTAACTGTTTTCTCGATTTATGACTGTTTATTTTCCATTAAAGGAAATATCTCTCTGCTTTTCCTCATCTTAGATTTACAATGTTATTGATATTATTATATTGTATTGTCATCGGAACTAAAGGTGTGTACCAAATTTCAGATCAAACCGTACGGGTCGAGCTAAATAAAACCGTTTAATAATAAGATTTATTTTTCATATCGACATAGGTCTGATTCTGCTTTTTTTCGTAGCTACAGGGTGTTAAAGTTTTACTAATCTTTCGATTTATCATAATTTTCAAAATTGTGCAATGCCAATTAAAAGCTATCTCTTGATATTTTGTCGAATTCGGCCTCCTTGATGAGATAAACGGAATTTTATTAATGACAATAAAATTAAAATAAAAATAAAAAATTAATAAATTATATATTTTTCCTAACTTACAATTAAATATTATTACTATTAGTCCAACCTACAGTATTTTCACATCCTGTAACTGTAAAACTATGCATTTCCATACCCGTGTTTTTTCAATGAAGAATCAATGAGTACTTATTTGAAACTTTCGCAAGTTAATGTCATAAAATTTTTTTAAAGGTTGCTATTAGACTCGCGGATCAAGGCACATTAATAAAATTGCGTTTATCTCATCAAGGACGTCGTAAAATATCAAGAGACAATTTTTAACTTGACGAACAAGAGAAAAAAGTCAGTGGCGTACATGCTTTCTTTAGAAAAATCTTCCAGTGATAACCCATATGCACGTCCCTGGTAAATATGTCGACACATTTTTAGCTTTAAAATATATCGCATTTATAGTAACTTTTATCTTAAAAAATTCATTCGAAACGCTAAAAGTACTTGGAAGAAAATTATAATATATAGTATCTCTTTAAATAATTTTAGAAAAGAAAAAAATAGTACACAATTAGTATTGTAACTATTTTTAGCGACAATAAGGATAAGCTCTTATTAAACATGCTTGTTATTTTTATTAGAGCTTGAATAAAGAAATAAGACATGTCCCTGAGATTACTTGGCCTTCTAAAGATTTATTATCAATCATTTTTGACGTACAGTAATTTAACAGAAAAAAATTCCGCAAGTTTTTCATGCTTACTAATATTTTATTCCCTATTTAACAATTTTAAGAATCTGATAGTAATTATTGTAATACTATACTTGAGGGGAATTCTTAATAATCTGATTTCATCAAAGTGGTTATAAATAATTTAACATACATTTCTTTGTATAGTTTTATCTATATGCAACATAGCCATATATAGCCACTAATTGCTTTGCAACTTGCAGACAGCGATTGCCAGGTGCATTTCAATCTGTCTCACTAGGACGACATAACGTAAAACAGGAGACGAAAAAAATAACAAAATAACTAGGAATGAGCACGAATAGTTGTTCTTAAAACATTCCTTTCGTTTATTCCATCATTATTATTATTGATAACTAGAAATTATATTATTTCTTAATCATTATAGAGTAATCCAAACATTTGCCACTAAAAATCAAATAAAGAATTTTAATTAGGTATTCTTACAAAGTCAATATACACTTAGATATCATATGACAACATAGACTAATTAGAAACTAAAAACAAAATAGGGTTGCTTCTGCCAAATTCTCAGTTACTGGACAAACTATATCAGTTCTATGATGTAGTAACTTCATAGAGAACCTAGTTTAAATATATGTTCTTCCCGAAACTTCACTACATCTTCTTCGACAGGTGAATATTCTCAACGAAGATTCTTCTCAACGACAACTACGGCAAACTCTTCTGGTCCTTCTGCTGTTCTGACAAGTGTTTGAACACTAATTCTTGTCCAGTCTCTTAGGATTTCATCCACGACATCTGTCTTCTACCTTTCCCTCGTTTCCCTTCAATTTTACCTTTGACGATAAGGTCTTGATAAGGATGATGATTTCCTTTTCTTTATGATATTTAGAAGAAGCGTATAGTCTCTTGGTTCATGAGAGGTAATACGGATTCATTTGATATGTGCTCTGTCCAAAGTATCTTCAGCATCTGACAAAATAATCACATCTCAAAATCTTCGATTTTCCTTATTGTGGTCAGTTTCACGGTCCAGGACTCTATTCCATATAAGAGCAGAGAACTGTAGCATTTGACCATACGATATAGGGTGTTCAATGTTAGATCTTTATTTCAAAAGAATTGTTTTATTTTGTGGAATGTGCTACGGATCTGTCCTGTCCTGGCTAATATCTACATCCTGATCCAAATCCTCAGTAATCCAACATTCAAGATATCTGAATTTAACTACTTGTTCTATGTCATTGTGGTTTACTTTTATATTTGTTTAAATATTGGGATAAAGGGAAGAAGATCTTTCGTGTGTTGCCTTTTAGAGTGTGCTACGTTACGTCTATATGAAGTGATAAGATTTTTCTTCCTCGTGAAGTTTTATTCAGATCAACAACATGCCAGATACCTAAGTATTTGTAAGAAAAACAGACTAACTTGTTGATGTAGTAATAGTGAAAATAATGATAAATCAAACTATACTTTCAGAATCGATAGAATCAGACCTTTCAGATGGCTTATAATCTGATTCCCTTGGTGCAAATGGATCAGACTTTGTTTCATTATCATCCATTTTATGAAAAAAAACAAACAGAAGCAAGCTATAGCTGCTTAATGCGTGAATTATGACTTGGTTCATTTCTCTACTGGAAAAAACAATATTTTATAAACGTATCAAGACGATTATCTTAAAATAGTAGGAAATGGGACTTGGTCCATTTTAATTCTGATCACTCCATATAATATGACTGTTAAAATCAACTAATTTTCCTTCTGTTTTCCCAAGACGCCCATTACTATTCTCACCATCCACCAGCGCCTCTTCGGCGTCTAAGTAGGCTATGGAGACAATCTGATTCATACAAAGCGGCGCGCTCGACATCGTTGTTCATTTCAAATTCAACTGTTTTACCGCCCGGCCAGCCAACCGCGATCCAACGGCGCCAAACCATTTTACGCGTTCGCGCTTTCGCAAAAATCGCCTTGAAAATGATCTGAAACTCGCCCTTATGATCCTTAAGCCCTACTGGACCCTATTTTTTGTCCTAACGATATTTATTTTCGTTTATTACAATGTTTTTATGGTGCTGGACGTTTCGAATAGGGACGCGACATCATCATCAGGATTATCTGTTACGAATATTGTGGCGTATTCGTTGAAGAAGAGGGTGGAGTTGGACAGTGAGGAGTATTTCTGTGATAAAATTGAGAAGAGTGTGGATGAAAGTGATGGATATAGTGGGAAAAGTTGGAGAAGGATAAGAGATAGTGAAGTGTATGTGTATTCGGTTAACATGGATCGAAGATTGGAGCCTTATATTTATTTGAGAATTATAGCTATGATAAAAGGTAATAATACAGGGTGTTTCTTAATGACATGCTAATATGTAAGGGGGTGATTTTGGGACCTATTCGAAGAGAAAAACTTCATATGCATGTACGTCCTAAACATCTTAATTTCTGAGATACAGGGTGGTAATTTTTCTTAATAACTCTGATTTTATTACAGATATTTTTATAAAACTTGATACACGTCTTTTATATATCAAAATACATCTTTTGGTATACAAAGAATTTTATTTATTTCAACCAGTGTCGTCCATACGGGTTTTACATTGAATATTTTTCGAGAAAAACGTGGTACACCTCTGACTGGTTTTAAATTAAAAATTATTTTCAAAATTTCTATTCATTTCTAAACATTTTTTGTCTCTTGAATTTTTTCGTCCAGCGCATAGTTTTTGCTTAAAAATTAAAGTTAGTTTACTCAGGTTTTTTTGGTATATCAAAATAAGCATTTTGATGAATAGAAGGCGTATATCAAATATAACATTATCAGAGACATTTTGAAAAAAAAATAAAAAAAATTACCACCCTGTATCTGAAAAATTAAGATGTTTAGGACATATATATTCATATGAAGTTTTTTTCTTAGAATAGGTCCAAGAATCACCTCCTTAAATATTAGCGTGTCATTAAGGAACACCCTGTATACTGTGTTAAAGGGTGTTCTAATACAGACAAGTAACTAAGTTTATTAAAATTCTATTGCAAAAGGAAAAATTTGAAATATCGAAAAATAAATCTAGTTAAAAAGATTAGTTTCCTTGACAGTTCTTTAAGCAGCTAACTGTGATTTCTCTAAGGCTTTTTGTCCATTTATAAAGGAGTTGATAATACTTTATAATAAAATACGATAAAAAAGGCGTCAGGAATGGCTTAGAAAAGATCGCTGTCATTTTAGATTTTAAATGATGGGGAATTGTCATCAATTGTCATTTCTAGACCAACTGGCTGTCGTTTTTTTCGATCATATGATAGGTACTTCCAATCTAAAACCATGAGTTATTTGCGATTTTTCAATTTTGAGAGGCTAAATTATATAAAAAATGAGTTGAAAGATGGCCACGTTTCAAAAATAACTCTGTATAGAATGTCATTATGGTATATTTAGAATGGTAGCTTGATGGCAAACTCACAACTTTACTGTAAAATATATATAAAAAGCCACCGCGCATACTTTTTCAGGAAAAAACATCTTTTTCCGAAGCTGGACTGCCAAAAAATGTTTTTTATCACGCATCAAGCTATGGAGGCGCACAAAATCTATTGTGCTCTAATAATCTAGTTGGCGAAAATACAGAATTTTATGTTAGTGTCATAAATGATATTTGACAATAAGCTTCCTAAAAAAGGTATATGTTTAATGTATATATAAATTAAAATATAATTATAAAAAAAATAAATATAAAAATAATTTATATATAAATTTTAAATTAATTAACTTTATCGGATTTATTTTTCATTGATGCCCTCTAACGGATAAACGAAGCACTTTTGTATAAAGGTAAATTATGTACAATTAATTTATTGTTCCTTACCTAGTTGTTCTATGTCCACGGAATATTGGAACGCCCTGTATAAATATTATAAAGGCATCTTTCGTAATATTTAAATACATAAAAATTATAGATTTTCTAAAAAAACATGATCAGATTTCAATAAAATAGGTTAAATAAACTTGCGAAGGTTGAAATACTACGACTTCTAAATTTTTTATTAGACTATATAGTACGTTTTTTTAGAATTATTACTCTAGATGTTGCTTAGTTCAAGGCCAAAGCAGATCATTACATCCCCGAAAAATTCGTAGCTCATAATTTTATAGAGCTGAAGATAATGATATATACTTACCGTCAATTACGGAACTGTGAAGTGCCTTCCGCCTTCTGTGTTAAAAATAATAAGACTAAACAGTATTTTTTGATTCGAAATATATATTTTTAACTTTATAAAAACGGCACTTTCAACATAAAAAAAGCTAATAACGGAAAATGAAGCTTTTTGAGAAACTAATTTGGAGGAAGAGATTGGAGGAGACCTATGTCCAACGATGGACCGAAGAGGCTGGATAGATAGATAGATAGACTGTTAAAATTGCCTTAAATTTTTGTATTCCTTTTCATAAGTTATTCGGGATTTAAACGGAAGTAGTTTGGATATGGCGTTTGTCGCCTCAGCCTGAATATCTGTTGGTAATTTACTTATTTCAATTTGAGCCATTTCTGGCTCCAATTCAATCAGCAATCGACACGAAAGAGAATTAAAAAATATTGACTCAAAACTGACAACTAAAGAGACAGCTTTATTTATTTGTCAAATTACATAGAAACCAACGCCAACCCAGCACAATATTTTTTCTATTCGTAATAAATTCCTTGAAATAATAATTTCTGGATATTTTTTAAAACGTAATTCGCTATGGAAAAAAATATTGTTTTATACACGACGATAAAATTGCATTATCGTCTCCCGAAATTCTTCTCTTCTGTCGACGATAAAATACAATTTTATCGTCTTATATAAAAAATAACTATTAATTAGATCACACTCTATAGGTATGCTGTATGCTGTTTTAAATTAACATTAAAAAAGAATAAAATACAAACTCTTAATTCTATGAAACGTATTTATGGCGACTTAAGTAGATTCTAGTTTGTCACCAGCTTTTTTTATTCTCTTTTATCCCATTTTGCTATAAGTATATAATTAAAGCCGTATATAATGAGGAAGAGCTGTAAGACGCGTATGGATTAGCTATAGAATTTTAATAGCGCCTCTTTGAAACTATCGAGTTTCATAGGTTGACGCATTTTGAATTTTAATAACCCCTAAGGTGACTGATCGAATTTAAAATATGTGCCTTAATATATTTATAAATAGATAACCTATTATTGTGTACACCGAGAGAAATTTAGCTCATTTTTAACTCTTTTATTTGCTTCACTTGTATGTATTGATGTAACGAAATATTTGAACGTTAGATTCAGCGAACTTAAGATCCCAGAGTAAATTAAAACTTTGTACAGGGTGTTGTAAATTTGACTTAATGTTTGATGTGAATTTTAAGTTACCTATTATAAGTTATAATAAGTATTTATTAACACAAACATCCGATACGCTACTGAAGCAGGTAAGTCAAATTAACGTATCTAAATTCTTTGACATCTAATCTTTGACAAGTAATAAATAAAAGCTAAAATGCAAGAAAGATATATAATTTAGTTAATTTAAGTGAATTTCATAAATGATCGGTTTACTACACGTATGTATATTATCCTTGAATATTATATAGTCACTTACTAGCGAATCTACCGCACGCTACACAACCAACTATTTTAGAATCTTTTTCGATAAATCGCGATAGTGTCACTGTTAATTTAAGTTTTGCCACAATTTCCATCTAGATTTACTACCTTTATACAACTATCAATAGTAAAATAAATAATAAATAACATAAAATAAGCTCCGTAAAGACTGACAAATCCACAAAATTTCAAATCAAGTTCAAATGTGTCAAATGAATCGTCAAACAGAACTATCAAGGATCCCCACCCTAGAGTGCTTTTATGGCGCTTTTTCCGCCCACCATGCATGAATACATGGATAGCATTATGCTCCTTCCTTAGTCTTCTTATTCAAAGATATAGCCTAAACGTCAAATTTAGTGATTGCTACAGCCACTGTACCATAAAGAGAAGACATGTGGCTATCTATGTCAAAAATTAAATTGTCGGAATGTCATATAATAATAGCCGCAGCTGTCATGGAATTGAGCGATTAAAAAATTATCATAAATCATTTTTTTTCAAATGGAAATCCACTTTTTTTCTTTCATCTTACATTACTTATTAAGATTCGAAGGCCCCCTAAAAGAGGGGGCCCGGGGCGGACCGCCCCTTCCGCCAACCCTTAGTTCGCCACTGGATGGGACCATATTAGGAAATTAGCACGGATGACTTGGGGACAACAATGGGCCCAACTACAAAGAGAGTATCTAAAAATAAGCGAGGGAGCTACACTAAATTGGAAATGGTTGAATAAGCTGAAAATGATGATGGTGCTGATGAACTCCAGTTCCGGACACCTTTATTAGCCATAGACACCCTGTATATATTGAAAATTAGAGCTGATTAGAGTATATGATTTGGAGTTAATTATATTTTAAAGATTTTTTTAGTGTGTATGTGAGTGTTCTGCAGAATTTCATTACCCTAAATCAAATCTTTTATAGCATCAATAATATAAACTTATTACCTTGTTTTTCTCTTCGCTTGATTAGCTTGGACGTTCCACAACATAAAATTTAATAACATTATATATTCTAGCGTGTGCAATGAAACGAGAATATTTTTAGCGTAAAATCGCAAAATGAACGCTACAGTACCTTGTTATGGTACATAAATAAGTTCAATATTATCGATTAGTATCTCCCAGTGGCAGTTACATATTTTTATTCGACATTAAAAGATATAATACATTGCTATATGTATGGTAATAGCAAAAATGTCTTCCTTTTTCTTCATGAAGAATAAAAAAAATATTAAAAATAAATTAAGTCTTACGGTTATCTTGATGGTAGTGGTACTAATGACACTAATGAATATATACATAGCAAGTGAAGGGTATAAGATTAATAAATAATTAATGTTGCATTTAAGATGCTAATTAATCCTATACATGTATTGATAAAAATATACTTAATTTAAATAAGAAGCATATTTTTACCGAATATTAGTAGCTAAAGTTCGTGATTAAATTTATTTAAAGATTAATTTTCAATTCAATATTCAAGATATTTATTTGTGAACTTCCTGCTGAGATTAACTACTGTCATTTTCTTCCTTTTGCTATAGGCTCAGCAGATAGGTGGTGTGTTTCCCCTTGCTCCTCCATACACAATCTACAGGGTGGTCCGAACTGTATTCCGGAAACTTCGGCAGCATATTCTACAGATCAAAATAAGTAAAAAAGTTCGTATAAATGTATGTTCTAAAATGCTTAGTTTCGGAGATACAGGGTGTAGAAGTTTCATTTTTATTTCGATTTTTTCCAAATAATTTCTGAAGTAACGTCAATATTTGGATGAAAATTGGTATCTGGGAGTTTCGTGACACGAGAAATTTGATTTTTATGTCGTATTACTCCTATTTGTGTAGGGGCGCCACCTACATGTGTTTTAACTGTTTTGAAGAGTAATAACTTTTCGACCGTACCTGTATAAAACCACTGACTAAAAAAATATACATTTGCATGACTGTTTATGTAAAAAATATCTCTTGGTAAAAATCGCTACGAGCAACCGTTCTCAAGATATTTAGAATGGAAATAGTCAATATATGTCATTATTGACAAAAAATAAGCTTACGTTGAGTATACCTAGTTATTTGACTGAAATAATAAATTTTTATTTTTTTTAAATTAATCATAAGTTTTCTGCGAAAAAATGATGATTAAACAGTTTCTTTTGAACTTTTGATACAAAAAGATTTCAAATTTATGATTTCAGTCTAATTACCATTTAGTTAACATGTTTAATTTATGTCAATGATCACCAGTATTGATCATTTCGATTCCAAATATCTCGAGAACCATTACTCGTAGCGATTTTTACCAAGAGAACTTTTTTATGTAAAAAAAGTCGCAAATGTACATTTTTTTACTCAGTAGTTTTATACATGTACCGACGAAAAGTTATTACTCTTTAAAACAGTTAAAACACATGTAGGTGGCGCCACCTACAAATGGGAGTCATATTGACATCAAAATCAAATTTCTAATGTCAAAAAACACCCATCCACCAATTTTCATCCAAATATTGACGTTACTTCAGAGATTATTTGGAAAAATAGAAATAAAAATGAAACTTCTACACCCTGTTTCTCCGAAACTAAGTATTTTAGGACATACATTTCTATGAACTTTTTTACTTATTTTTATCTGCAGAATATGCTGCCGAAGTTTCCGGAATACAATTCGGACCACCCTGTATATGAGGATCATGCCCACCCGAAAGATTTGCGGGGATACACCGCAAAACGCAACTGACCCACATTTTGTAGATCGTTGTGTCGCGATCCGATGTTCACTACTTCGTCCAGTATAGCCTCTTCTAGAGACGTTTGCTAGTCGGTGGTTAGAGCAACCTCTGGGAAATCCTCTGGCAGCACCGCCATTTTCACTTGTACATCAATAGCGGCAAAGCTGGTGATACGTTCCTGCTTGCCTCCCGGTGTTGGACGGCTTTCCATACTGGCTTTTTTCTCTCCCTGCCGGAGAAGAGGTGAGAGGTTCTCGCTCCCTCTCTTGCCCTTTGATGGAGATGAGTCAGGTTGTTTCTTGGTTTCTTTACTCTCCCCTTTTCGGAGGAGTGTTTTCGCTTTTGCTTCCTCGAGAGCAAGATCTTCGTGGAGCAGTCGGAGGTATCTCCGTGCTTCATGAGTCAGGTTGTTTCTTGGTTTCTTTACTCTCCCCTTTTCGGAGGAGTGTTTTCGCTTTTGCTTCCTCGAGAGCAAGATCTTCGTGGAGCAGTCGGAGGTATCTCCGTGCTTCTGCTCCGCTAAGACCTACTCTCAGAGGATCGTCTAGCCTGCCTGGTTGACCCAGGCCGGGTAGACGAAACGGTAGCTTGTGTCGCTTATTGGGTCTAGAGGTAGGCTCCCGACCCTTGCTGGAGAACGTGGTAGCTTGTGAGTTGTGTGCCTCTTGTAGTTTCCTTTAGATTTGGTCCCTTGGAACTTTCATTTGTAATATTGCCAGTGTCGCTAGGGGGCTTCCCACAGTTTTACCGGTGGTGTTTTTAATACTAGATCTCATAGTGTCCCCACGAGTAGCTAGGGATAGCCGGTCCACTTCTACAGAGCCCCGCATGTAGAAGTAAGGGGGTGCCCCCTGATGCCCCAAGGTTGAGGCCAGTAATGGCTAGTCCTCTATCTAGCCACGCAACCCTTTGACCTGGTCCCGCCATCGTAGGATTTAGGTTTTTGGTGAGGTTGTCTCCTCTTGGTCCAGGCGGTTAAGCCAAGATGCCCCACACCCTCTCCGCGAGACATGACCACAATCAGTAGAGGGTGCCTGGTATGGTGGAGAGGGGTAGCCCCGTCCGGCATCGTTATATATCTTGGTGCAATTCCCTGGCCACGACACTACGGCCAGGGACAAGTCGATGAGTGAGATACTTGTTAGACCAAGCCAAGCGCTAGGGGGATTCCCCCCAGCACCTAACCAGGAGCTTCCCCACCAACGACAAGGTCTTGCATCTCCTAGGGGAAGATTTATATCTATAGAATCCCTCACTGAAGTTTAGTACTCTATTTTTGACTCCCTGTATATATAAAACCACTTTAATTTTTTTTATATTTAGCATAAAACTAAATATTAATTAACATTAAATAACTCATTTATTACATAATTGCACACGAAAAAAATCCCAATACAATCTTTTATTATTTAATATATTCCTAAATTAGTTCATCACTCAATTATTTCTAGAAGTTTTTAATCCTCTACGGTAATTATTAGCTGTTCCAATCAAAGAGAATATTCAAAATACCGAGCCAAAAAAACTTTATAAGTTTGAGTTAATTATAGTTCGGAAATTATCACCTGTTCCCCGGCCAATTAAGATAAATGAACTCTCATAACCATCATAAGCGACTCCAAATCAATTATTAAGCATAAAAGATGCTCGATAATTACGTAGAACAGAAGAAGCCAATCCGGTGGGAAATAATAATATATTATTACGAAAAATAGGGCTGTTATTTCGAAAACCTGTTAAAAAAAATGACGTGGCTCTGAAAATAATTATTGTATTATAATAGTCGCAATTTAAATGGCAAACGAAAAAGGATATTTCTTGTTGAAAAGTTGATATAAGTATCTGTGTCCTTAATATTAAATGCTTACTTAAAAATATATCACACTATATAAAAGTATAAATCGGCCCTTAATATACAGGGGACTTACTGTTGCAGAAATATACACATCACGGGTCATAATAGTGTCATATTTCAGACATTTTTACAAAATCTACACCCGCATATTTAGGTAAAATATTTTTGCTTAGATACAAGATAATTCAAAGTTCTATTTTTCACATTAAAATTTTAGTTTTTTAAATGAAATCCTGTATATTTTTTGCTCATTAGTTTGCCATTAATCTTGCACGGTACAAATATCAAATATGTAATATATATAGATATTATATAATAGTTTTTGAAATATGGTCAGTTTTAGAGTAACTTTCTACATATTTAAAGCCTTCTCAAAATTGTAAAATCACAAAGCTTTGATGCTTTTGAATTTTAAAAAAGTTACTAAGAAATTTAGAACTTATTCTACAGTATGTCCTCGGAGTAAAGACATACAAGAGGATTTTTTTTATTAGACTCTTTGAGAAAAAAGAATTCTTCATATAAATGTTTACTTATTCCTATGTTCCTATTATGGTTAATCTCATTTATACTTTTCCAACAGGCTAAAAATATAACGTTAATTAAAATTAATAATAAATAAATAATAAAGAATAAAATCGAAATTATATTATGTATTTTTCTGAAAAAGTCAATAATAAAAGTTTTTCCTCTGGTAAAGACAATAGGGTAGATAGGTACATATATTATATAGTTTTCTTTCCCCTATAAAATAAAAAAAATCTTTTACTTACCTTATGAACTTAACTAATAAATTTTGTATTGTTTTGTAGGTTCTTGGAATGGTACAATTTACTGTCAATTTTTATCCACCCACGGACATATAAAAGTGATTAAATCTACTGTTACGCCCATATGGTTCACCGAGTGGGATAAAGAGGACAAGAATGTTTACTATAATCCCACATTTATTTCATGCAGGTAAGCACAAAGCTTCTGGTAAGCAAACACATAAGGAGAAATTAAATATGTATTCTTCATTAGCACAAATAGATAGTCATGAGAAATAAATTAAACATTAGGTTTGTTTGAATGTGAAAGACATTCATAAACCGTTCCATGAAATTGAATGGTTCATGGATGTTCTTCCACGCTGAAAAACAAATAAACTTAAATTTAAAACAAATGTCTAATAATCAAAATATCAGTCAATATTATTTGGAAAACACTCTAGGTCGAAAATATAGAGAGACAAGTTTCTATAGCTGCTGCCTATATACTGGGTGCGTCTCAAAAGTGGCACATCCCCTATAACTTTTTTATTCTTTCAGATAAAAAACAAGATTTGGTATGTTAGTATATGACACACATAAATTAGGATCGATTGACGTATTCAGTTGTTTTTGGTCACTTCCTATTTCACCGGAAATTACTACAACTTTTGATTTTTAAATGATACCCTCCGTATTTTTTTATTTTATTCGATAGAAAATGTCACATGTCAACTTTTGACATTTTCGCTTTAAAAAAAATCGTATTTTAAATTTCAATCTAGGGCGACATGACGTTATGATGTGTTAAAAACATTAATTTTTAATCATGGAGCCTTGGAAAAATAGATTTAATCGTCTAGTGTTTTTCGTGTCTTGTTCTGGCCAGTTAAAAGATGCCCAAATCGTATTTTTAATCATATTTCACTTTTTTTCAAATGGAACGAGGGTGGCTCATTAGCATATTTGGAAAAAGCAATTTTTTTCGAATAATTTGGTACCACACACTTGTATTTCGAGTCAATTTGTCGTTATGATCCGCATGTTACAATTTTAAATAAATCATATGAAAAAATGTCAAAAGTTGACATATGATATGTCATTCTACTCAGAGTGTCATAAAAAACACTGGGGGTACCATTTAAAAATCAATAGTCATTTCCGTTGAAACAATCTTAATTTATGTCATATACAAACGTACCAAATCTCGTCTTTTTTATCTGAAAAAATAAAAATGTTATAGGGGTGAGCCACTTTTGAGACGCACCCGGTATATCATCTTAATTCTTTTTAAAACACAATTGAAGCAAATATTCAACATACAGTATTTTTTACCACTTTTATCTTTTAGTTTCTTGTGTAAGAAAATACATCTCACTTTTTTTCATATTTTGTAACATATTTCTCAAAAATATTTACAAAATACATTGAAATCATTATACAAAACGTTTGATTTTAGGGTACCACATATTTTCAGTTCTGAAAATGCTCCAAAAATATTTTTATCTACCAAACCATGTGAAATATCAAGTCAAGCTTTCCACGTATATTTAACCAATGATACAGAGATTAGAAACTTTACTGTATGTGTGAAACCCATGAATTTTCAAGCAGATATTTCAAATTATCTAGTTCAATGGATTGAAATGAACAAATTACTTGGAGCAGAATATTTTCATATATTTTTAGGAAATATTAATGAAAATACCAGGAAAATACTAAAATGGTAATACATATATTAATACATTTTTTTATTAAAACTGTAAAAGCATTTATTTCATTTTTCATATCTATAATATACCTCTATACGTAAATATCTATTTTATTTTAGGTACAAATCAACTTCTCCAAATATGTTTAAATTGGAAAATTTTGAATTAATTGACAGCTTTCAATATTTGCCCACAGATCTCATTAGAAAAACATGGCAAAGACGCAGATACGAAATAATTTCATACAACGAATGCTTTTATAAGAACCTAAATTCAAAATACATCATTCCCTTGGATATTGATGAAATAATCCTACCAAAAACCGCAGATACTTGGAGAAATCTAGTGCATAATTTACATAACTATGCCTCCCTGTCAATTAGAAACGTCTATTTCTTCACTGAAGATACATACACTTCGAACAAGTCAGTTTTCTTCAACTATATCTACAGGACAGGCAAGATGAACCAAATAGGCGAAAATACCAAAAGTTTTATACCTACTAAAAACGCCTTGACTGTATTTAATCACTACTCGCTGCATTTGCTGAGACCCGGTATAAGGAAGAACTATTTCTTTCCTTTTGAAGACGCCCAATTAAACCATTACAAGGAATCATGTGACGCTGTGATATTTCCGGAATGTTCTACCTACCTTTCTAGTCCAAAAGTCGTAGATAAAACTATTGTTAAGTTTAGGAATAAGTTTAATGAGAATTACAAAAATGTACTGAAGAAAATAAGTTATAATAAAATACTGTAGTGTATTATAATTTTTTTATTTGAAGTAATAATAACCCTCATTCTAGTGGCTGACACAGAAAGTTATTTAGACGCAGTTGTTTTCTGTTAAATTTTGGATGACATTGGTGTCTCTGTTACAAAATGCGTTCATGTGTCGGCGGTACGGCACCCAGGTTTAGCTTCCATATAGCATATTGGGGGTTATTATTGCTCGGTACATTGCCTGTTTTTTAATTTTCAGAATGCTCTCGAGGCACTGCTAATTCTGTGCTGAATTTTAGTGTCAATATTGGCCTTTTCCTAAATCAAACCGAGGTAATTGAATTCCGCTATGTGTTCCAATAATAATTCTTTTCCGATTTTTATAGCATTGTTACGAATTTCCAGGGGAGTGCACATGATTTTAATTTTATCGATGTTCAGCTTAAGGCCCAAAGTCCTGTATGCCCAGATATATGTGTTTAACTTTCTTGTAATCGTTGTAAAGTTCTTGCAACAAGAGCGCAGTCGTCAGCGTATTGAAGTTCTGTGATGAATTTTATAGGTGTTTTTGCCCTGAGTCTTTTTATGTTAAACAGACCGTCGCGCCGTCGTATCTGTATCAAATGCCCATTCCTCATTCCTGCAGTTTGCTGTCCACTATAGGAAAGCTAAGAATATAAAAAGACACGGTATAACTAAACGATAATAAGTTTCATCGGCCACTGGGAACGATTTTTGCTTAGTAGTCAGCTAAGTTAGCTGCGTTTTCGTATTGTGTCTCTGCTATCATAGAATTAATCGCTGCGAAAAATTCGCTGGAACCTGTCACGAACTAAAACGAGCGAAACTAAACTACGATTTGAATCTGCATTCATATATTTTCGTTTAGATTCGCTCAAGTGGCCGCTGATGCATTTAAAGGCAGGCGGCCACTGCGAGCGTAAGTCAAGCGAAGATAATATTTGTAAAAATCAGCTCCCATACTTTTAAATGCATCAGCGGCCACTTGAGCGAAACTAAATAAAAATATATGAACGAAGATTCAAATCATAGTTTAGTTTCGCTCGTTTTAGTTCGTGAGAGGTTCCAGCGAATTTTTCGCAGCGATTAGTTCTATGATAGCAGATATACAATACGAAAACTTAGCTGACTACTGAGCGAAAATCGTTCCTAGTGGAGTTCCCATTTAATTACCGTTTGTTTTCGTATTCTTAGCTTAGTTTAGTTACGCTCGCAGTGGCCGCTCGCCTTTAAGGCAGGCGGCCACTGCGAGCGTAACTAAACTAGGTCAAGCGAAGATAAGATTTGTAAAAATCAGCTCCCATACTTTTAAATGCATCAGCGGCCACTTGAGCGAAACTAAATAAAAATATATGAACGAAGATTCAAATCATAGTTTAGTTTCGCTCGTTTTAGTTCGTGAGAGGTTCCAGCGAATTTTTCGCAGCGATTAGTTCTATGATAGCAGAGATACAATACGAAAACTTAGCTGACTACTGAGCGAAAATCGTTCCTAGTGGAGTTCCCATTTAATTACCGTTTGTTTTCGTATTCTTAGCTTAGTTTAGTTACGCTCGCAGTGGTCGCTCGTTTGTAAGGCAGGCAGCCATTGCGAGCTTAACTAAACTAGGTCAAGCGAAGATAAGATTTGTAAAAATCAGCTCCCATACTTTTAAATGCATCAGCGGCCACTTGAGCGAAACTAAATAAAAATATATGAACGAAGATTCAAATCATAGTTTAGTTTCGCTCGTTTTAGTTCGTGAGAGGTTCCAGCGAATTTTTCGCAGCGATTAGTTCTATGATAGCAGAGATACAATACGAAAACTTAGCTGACTACTGAGCGAAAATCGTTCCTAGTGGAGTTCCCATTTAATTACCGTTTGTTTTCGTATTCTTAGCTTAGTTTAGTTACGCTCGCAGTGGTCGCTCGTTTGTAAGGCAGGCAGCCATTGCGAGCTTAACTAAACTAGGTCAAGCTGAAGATAAGATTTGTAAAATCAGCTCCCATACTTTTAAATGCATCAGCGGCCACTTGAGCGAAACTAAATAAAAATATATGAACGAAGATTCAAATCATAGTTTAGTTTCGCTCGTTTTAGTTCGTGAGAGGTTCCAGCGAATTTTTTCGCAGCGATTAGTTCTATGATAGCAGATATACAATACGAAAACTTAGCTGACTACTGAGCGAAAATCGTTCTAGTGGAGTTCCCATTTAATTACCGTTTGTTTCGTATTCTTAGCTTAGTTTAGTTACGCTCGCAGTGGCCGCTCGCCTTTAAGGCAGGCGGCCACTGCGAGCGTAACTAAACTGGGTCAAGCGAAGATAAGATTTGTAAAAATCAGCTCCCATACTTTTAAATGCATCAGCGGCCACTTGAGCGAAACTAAATAAAAATATATGAACGAAGATTCAAATCATAGTTTAGTTTCGCTCGTTTTAGTTCGTGAGAGGTTCCAGCGAATTTTTCGCAGCGATTAGTTCTATGATAGCAGAGATACAATACGAAAACTTAGCTGACTACTGAGCGAAAATCGTTCCTAGTGGAGTTCCCATTTAATTACCGTTTGTTTTCGTATTCTTAGCTTAGTTTAGTTACGCTCGCAGTGGTCGCTCGTTTGTAAGGCAGGCAGCCATTGCGAGCTTAACTAAACTAGGTCAAGCGAAGATAAGATTTGTAAAAATCAGCTCCCATACTTTTAAATGCATCGGCGGCCACTTGAGCTAAACTAAATAAAAATATATGAACGAAGATTCAAATCATAGTTTAGTTTCGCTCGTTTTAGTTCGTGAGAGGTTCCAGCGAATTTTTCGCAGCGATTAGTTCTACGATAGCAGAGACACAATACGATTGTATACTCGTAGTTTAGTTTCGCTCGTTTTAGTTCGTGAGAGGTTCCAGCGAATTTTTCGCAGCGATTAGTTCTACGATAGCAGAGACACAATACGATTGTATACTCGTAGTTTAGTTTCGCTCGTTTTAGTTCGTGAGAGGTTCCAGCGAATTTTTCGCAGCGATTAGTTCTACGATAGCAGAGACACAATACGATTGTATCTCTGCTATCATAGAACTAATCGCTGCGAAAAATTCGCTGGAACCTGTCACGAACTAAAACGAGCGAAACTAAACTACGAGTCGAATCTTCGTTCATATATTTTCATTTTGATTAGCTCAAGTAGCCGCTGACGCATTAAAAAGTATGGAAGCTGATTTTTACAAATCTTATCTTCGCTTGGCCTAGTTTAGTTTCGCTCGCAGTGGCCGCCCGCCTTAATAGAGCGCTGCCATGCGTATGTTGAATAGGAGAGGCGCTAATGCCGGGTCCAGACCAAGGCGAGAAAAAGCAAACACGATTTTGAGACAAAACCAAGACAAACTTGCAACAAAAAATGGGGAATACTGACAAGACAAACTTGAGACAAATTGTCCACACTGCAAGGACAAAGGTACAACAAAGTCAAAAGTTTTGTTGTTGCGAATAACTTATATTAACAATGTGTGATTTCACTGGTCTTCTACTGTTGGCAGCACACGCCATCCACACTGCGTCGACTTGTAAAATATGCAACAAAAACAAAACATAGACACTTTGATCTTTACCAACTCGAGACGGGACATTGAAAAGTCTCCGAATTTTGAAACAAAACAAAAATGAGACAAAAATGTCGCAGAAATGTATTGGATTTGTCGCAATTTTGTCGAAAAACATGAATGTTCGTTGTTTCGTCTGCTTGGTCTGAACCCGGCATATGACACATCCCTGCATAACCTCTGTATTTATTAGGAAGGTATCGCTCAGTGATCCATGATGTGACATTCTAGACTTGTTATAAGGGCTTTTACACACTGTAAGAAACTGGGTACTCCGAACTTTTGCAAAATTGCCCAAAGTGCATCTCTGTTTACAGAGTTGAAGTGTTTTGGAATGTCGATGAATGCAACATAAAGTTTACTCTGCTGCTGCTTAACATTTTCCTGTAGTTGGCGAACGGAGAATATGGAATCAACGGTACCGCGGTTGGTGCGAAAGCCCGTTTGCGATTCTGGGAGGATTTTCCCTATACACTGCTGGCAAAGGAACATTAGCAATAGGAGATTTTCAATGCGATAAAAAAAGATGGTAAGACTGCAAAATACACTGCCGTGCAACAGAGACAGATAAAGTGCCTTTTCCCTACCATCGTATAGGGGAAGTGATCATAGAAGTGATACGACGAGAGAGCCTCTGCGAGAGGGGGCGCCGGGAGGGTCTTTAACGCTTGTGTGGGGGCTACCGCCTACTAATAGAATAGAATCGAAAAAATAGAAATAGGACGGACAGTGTTGCCATTCTATTAAATCGAAATTATGTTGGCTTATCCCAAATCTTCTAATCCCATGATCTTGCCTGCTTAATGAAATATTAAATAAAGTACGAAACAAATTTAATAATGTTTTCTCTAGGTACATAACTTCTTTCTAAAACGAAAAGTAACATGCAAAACTTTGAAATCATTTCTGAAATAGCAAGTGCAATTCTATGAAATGGCAATACTGTACGATCTTCTTAGCAGTCGCCCCGACACCGTCGGTCGGCGGCGGCGGTCACAAAGGAATTAGGCGGAAAAAAACTTTATAAGAAGTAGCCGAACAGGGTTGCCGGGTTTGTTAGATTATAATTCCATACGAGAACAAAATTATCGGTAGGTCTTCAACAAAAATCAAAAGTACAGAAACAAAATAAAATATAATATTTATATATATATATATATATATATATTATATATATAAGTCCAAAATTAGCATTCCTATGTGTCGTAATAATAGATCACTCAAATAAAATACAAATATAATAAATATAACAAGAATTAGAAATAGCTAGGTATATTATTTGATATTAAAAAAAATATTGTGAATTAAATAATATTAATATATTAATAAAACATATAAAACTATAACAAGTAGGGATAGCAGTCACTTTTACCTTTGTACAAATTTTTATCAGTGATATCTAAAATTAATTTCATTTCAATGGGAAAGCTGTAGCAACTCTCAACTCT